TATACACATCCTTATGAAATCCAGACAACCTTGTGAGGTCACTGCCATCACCCCAACTTACACAAGAGGAAGTGGAGGCTTAGGGAGATGAAGTAACTTGGCTCAAGGAAGTGCAGCGAGTATAGCTGAGCTGGCTCTGGAGGCCTGTCCCCAGCTATCACTTTGGGCCTGAGCTCAAAGGTTTAGGCCCTGTCCTGAGGATGGTAGTGAATGGTAGAGAGGCCACACATGGGCAGAGCTGGAAGATGACCTCCACCTCCTCAGGCATTGAATGGACAGCTAGTTCCAGGCAGCCCTCATCCCCTGCCTTATGTTATTCTTGACCTTGTGTTATTCTCAACGACGCCAACCAGCCACCTAATTCTCACAGTACCTTTTTATTTCAACCCATTTCCCTTATGAAAACTAATGAGAACAGAACAGATCCCTCCATGTAAACAAACTCAGGCTAAAACTAAAGAGCATATCTCAATTATATGCTTTATGTAGAAAAGGGAGGCCTTTTAAGGAAAAAAAAAATAATCCTTACAGATGGATGTGGTGACATACATCTGTAATCCTGGTATACTCGGGAGACCCAGACAGAAGCATCTGAAGTTCAAGGTCAGTCTGGGCTATTTACCGAGTCTGTCTCACCTTACAGGGCTTACTGGTAATTTCTGCAACAGCAGGGTGGGGACTCCTGCAAGCTCACCGTACCAGAACACAAGGATGTACGTACTACTAGAGGTTTAGCAGGGCTGACTAGGAATGAATGAAGCTGAAGGAACTGGTTGCACAAAACGGGAGTTAAAATGTCCTGGCACAAGTGTACTCAGACAACACCTAGTAGGAATACAAGTACTTCTTATTATTTCGAAGCTTCTAGAGAAGGAAGGCCTCTCGACTGTCCACAGATCCTGTTTGATAGACAGGAGAATTGAAGCTCTGAGAATGACCGACTTCTCTGGTGACCGTGTCCCTGAGATGATTCTCTTCCTATCTTCAGTCCTAACAAATACCCACCAATGTAGGCGGTATACCATCACCTGGGGGAACCCGATTCTGTGCTCATGCAGAGGCTAGGCCAGGCCAACAGCCCTCTGAGATGGCATGGATGAGCGTGAGCTATGCCATCCCTCTATGCCACACCAGTCTCCCTCCAGCCCTTCAGCAGCAAAATGAAAAGGGCAAAGGGAGGAGCTGAGGAGGTGGGGGTGATGGTTGGGGGGTTATGGGGGGGGCAAAGTCCACAGGAAAAATAAAGGGGAATGCCAAATCGATGTACTCAGCACAAAGTTCAGAGTGCCTTTCTGCCTGGGAACAGAGTCCATTGGTTCCAACTCCCTGCCAGGGGTGCACCAACCTCTCCCGGATGCCAGCTTGGCAGTGGCAGGGAGTGGGAGCCTGGTGGCCATGGCATTCCCAGCATTCACCTCTGGCTGGACTAGGCTCCTGATGACCTCACTTCCACCAAACCAGTTGGTCCCTCGCAGGCTCCACCTTCTCCCTCCTTGCTGAACTGTGCCACTGTCCAGGGAGGATCTTCCTGGCCCCACGGGGCACTCCTGCCTCACGCTGCCACCAGGTTGGGGTGTGGGGGGAGCTGGTGCCTGCTGAAGAGGCCCTGCTCCCAGGCTCTGCACACTGGGCCTCCCCCACCCGCCCTGCTCTCTGGGGACTGGAGGCTCAGCACAACAGCTCCTGTTTTGCCAGCTGCCCCTCCTGCAGCTGATCCAAACTGGGATAGTTTGGGGAAATAAAAACTGGGCCAAAAGTAAAAAATAAAAAAAAAAGCAAGCAGCCTGTGTGGTGTCCGGGTATACACAGTGACAAATACCAGGGCAAGACCCACCTGCCCACAGCGAGCTTTGGCGCTGCCTGGCAGAGTGCCCCCTCCCTCCCCCAGCCCTCCTCCTCCTCCTCCCCCTCCTCCTCCTCCTCATTCCCCCCCACCTCCCCCCCACCTCTTCCCTCCTCCTCCAGCCTCCCTCCAGCTCCCTGATACAAGCTAGCGCTTACTCCTCACATTCCTGAGAACCATAAATCCTCCCTGGCGGCCGGGCCACCACCCCCAGGACGCCTCCCGGCCGCCTCCTCCCCGCACCCCACCCCCACACAGCGCCGAGAGACGCCAGGGCTCCCTCTCTTTCTTCTAAACTTGAGGAGGATGCAGTCCAGTCTGGCTGACGTTAACGATGCACTCACCAAGGGGCTCGGGGGGGGGGGGGGGGGGGTGCGGGGAGGTATGGGAGAGCCTCCCGGGTCCCCTTCCCGGAACCGTGACGGTTGGTTACTCCTGCAGCTTTCTTAAGTCGGGGGAAGTTCGCCTCCAGCTGCAGTTACCACCCACAGGGGCAGAGGGAAAAACCGACAGCCAAGGAGGAGCCAGGGGTCCTTCCTAGTCCCTGACTAGGGTGACCCGGGAAAGGGCCCAGGGAGTAGCGGGTGGACGAGGAGGGTCCGGGGGGTGGGGGTAACGCCGTGAGATCGGCCAAGTCCCTTCCCCAGGCCAGCGCGGATGGAGATCGCGCGCGGGGACGCAGTCTCAAGCCCGCCCAGGAACTTGCCAGGGCCCCGGCAGGACAGGAGAAAGCAGCCTCCCCCTCTCGCGGCTCCAATTTCAGAGGGGGATAAAAGGGGGGGGGACTGGACTTCCCGGACGCCTGATTCTCCCCGATCCTCAACCCCCCACCCCCGCCGCCCTCTTCTCGCCGCGATCGGGGTCCACACTCACCCGCTCCGGGTGGCTCTTCTCGGCTTCGTGCGCCCCGCGCTGGTCGCCGGCCTCCTGCGTCTCGGCGGCGGCCGGCGGCTCGGCCGACCCCCCCGGCCCCTCCGGGCCGCGCAGCAGCTGCTCCCCGATCGCGACGCCGAGCTTCCTGAGCTGCTCGTCCGCCTCGGGGTCGACCACCAGCAGGCGCACGGCGCTGAGCGCGGCGCGGATGCGGCTCACCACCTGCTGGTGCGTCTCCTTCTCCACGTTCTCGCCGTTCACTTCCACCAGCCGGTCCCCGGCCAGTAGCCCCGCCTTCTCGGCCGGCGAGCCCGGCTCCACCAGCCGGATGAACTGGCCCACCTTGCCCTTCTCCCCGTGCAGGTGGAAGCCGTAGCCGTTCGGGCCCTTCTCAAGGCAACAGAGCCGGGGCACAGGTGCCCCGGCCGCCGAGTCCGCGCTCATGTCGCGCGGCGACGGCTCCGCGGGATCCCGCCGGGAGCTGCGGACACGATGGCCGAGGTTTCCTCTCCGCCCTGAGCGCTGCGAAGCCGGAGGGAACGCGGCGGGAGGCGCCGAGCGAGCAGGTGTCCCGGGAACCGCCGCGAACTCGGAGAACCGGACCGGGAAACGCGGACCAATCTCCGCCCCGCGCGGCGTCTGAGCCTTCCAGAACCCGCCCGGCCCCTAATCCGCTGGGCCGGGCCGCGCGGAGGGTGTGGACCACTTTGGACCAATCAGAGGCCACCGACCGAGGGGCTCTCGGGCCGGGTGAACCACATTGGCCAATGGGAAGGCTCGGGGGCGGGGCCCTGAGGTTGGCGCGGCGCCCCGCGGCGGGCGAAGAAAGAGGGCTCAGGAAGTGGAAGTGTTCGTTACCAAGTGCCGGGTTGGGTTGGCGGGGCGGGGCTGGGGCAAGTTCCAGAGACGGCGCGGAGCCCCCAACCCCCGCCCCTGCTCCCCGGGGCTGCGATCTGGCTTCTCATCCCCCGCAACGTGGTGGTTGAGGAGAACCAGGCGCCCCCCACACCGTGAAGGACCCTCACGTCTGAACGGAGCCGGGGACTGTGAGTGGGGAGAGCGCCCCTCGCCCCGCCCTGGGCCCCCTTGGGCCCGGGTGTGTGTGTGTGTGTGTGTGGAGGGGCGTCGTAAGAAACTGGACCGATGGTTTCTTTGGACAATGTTGAGTTATTTGGACGACAGCTTTTCTACTTGTGGGGTGACTGCACGATCCCAGAATCTGCGCGCATGGAAGGGTGCAGGCTCAGTAGAAGGCCTGAGGCTATTCTACCTGTAGCCCGCCTTGGACGACAGGCCACACGCAAGGAGCGAGGCCTGGCACCGGCATCAGCGTATTTAGGAAGGTGGGGTGGGGAGAGGTAAAGTCGGGCAATCAATCTCAGGATCCACTCCTGAGGGAAAAGGAGCTCTAGCTTTTTTCAACAGAGAAACAAACAAAAAATGACTGTAAGAGAACCTTTGTGGCTCATTCTTGTCAAATGAGGATTGTCACAGAGGCTGGGGGCAATCCGTTAGTGGGGTGTCCCTCTGTGAACACCGAAAAATGTGTATCAAACGATTTTGGTAAGGACAAGTCCCCCTCCTCCCCTCCTCCCTGAGATACAATAACAACCCCTCCTTCCCATACCCACTTCAAACAAACAGCAGACAGGGTATACTTTCCAAAATACTGCAGTTTAATCTGAAAAACACCACAATGCTGGAGGCTCAGAGCTGTCTGTGCCACGGGATCGCCTGTAACCTGCCACAGGCCCCAGAAGAGACCAGCAAGGTCAGACTCCTCCCTGCTCTGCCTGGGAGAGGCCACCGTGAGCTTCCTTATCGCCGGAGTTGGAGCTGCTGATTGCTCCAACTGCAAGATTTCTGCCTTGAAATCAAATGCCTTAGCCTCAGAAACGTACAGTACATGCTTTTTCTCACCTCCTCCCCCACCCTTGGCCTGCAGAGCTGCAGTTAAGGTACCTGTAGGTCAAATCCCGAGTTTTTCCCCTGATCACTTCCAAGGTCGAGGTCAGAGTTTTGGGAGATGTGTGTCCTTGGGCCTACACAAGCTCCTTGCTGTACTTCTCCCCACCCCAGACCACATGACTTTGTTTTGCATATATTATATTTGTTCACCCAGAAATGGATGACTTTCCAATTAGGAGAGAAGGGATATAGGGCAGTTTGGATCCTGATGTCTGCATTCAGCAAGATGCCGGTGGCTCATACCTATAATCCTAATTACTCAGGAGGTTGAGATCTAGAGGACTGAGGTTTGAAGTCTTTGAGCCTCTAATCTACAATTAACTACCAAAAAGCCAGAAGTGGAGCTGTGGCTTAAGGGATAGAGTGCCAGTCTTGAGCAACAAAGTGAAAGGGCAATGCATAGGCCCTGAGGTCAAGCCTTAGTACTACTGGCAGAAGGAAGGAACAAACAAAAGAACAGAGGGGGAGAGGGGGGTGTGAGGAGGGAGGGAGAGAGAATGGGAGGAGGAGAACTTGGATTTCCATGTTCTTTCAGGGAGGTTTGCTCAACTCTGCCTCCTACCTTGCTCCCAGAACCAGGAGTTTCTCTCACTGTGGCTCTTAACCCAGCCAGCTGAGCATTATAGTATCTTGGAAAAGTAATTAGCTATGGGGCTGCACACTTGCCAATTGATTGGGGAGGGGAGAAAAAAAAAAAAACTTCATAGTTCTGACTGCAGGTGTCTAGAGGCCTAAACAAAGGCAGATGAGACAGGAATTGAGGGGTAGGGATTTAGGGTGAGGAGCTCCCCTGGGCTCGGAAGTCCAGAGAATAGGAACCAGTGTTTCCAGGTGCCTCTGTGTGCTTGTGTGCTGGGGAAAGGGGCAATTAGGAAGGATCTTAATCTCTAGTGCTCCTCTCTCTGTCCCAAGGGCAACAACTGTTACCTTCCCTAAGGCTTTGGTCTAGCTCCCAATACAAGGGCCCATCTTGCTAGGGAAGATTGCTCTCTTGGGGAGCTGGAGGAAGTGAAGATTGGGATCTGCTCAGCCTCTCTCCTGCAGAAGTGAGGCTTGGGGTGTGGTCTCTTCCAGCCCTTACACCCTAGAAGAGCATCTATGTCATCTGGTGATGAACTGGGCACTACCGGCCTTGTTGCTAGTTGGGGAGAGACCCAGTCTTTTACATCTGAGTCCCAAGTACACCAAGAGAAAAGGTTTTTCTGGGCACGCTGGGGCCTTTTTTTTTTTTTTTTTTTTGGTATTATGTGTCATTCTGATAAAAAATGTGAAGTATTTTACCCACTCCTAGGCTGTAAGACATTACAGGAAGTGGGGTAGGGACTGCGCACTGGAGCCTCAGCTCTCTCCCCATTGGCTGGACTGCTCAGCATAAGCCAGTGTAGGGGAGACAGCTGCATCCCTGAGGGCCTCTGCTCAGCCCCTTGGGAGTCACAGGAAGGAGCAGCAGCTGGGGCGCTGCCTCTGGGACTCCACGTAGTCTCGGATCTGGAAGCTGGGTTCATTGGCCTGCCGCCCTGCGCGGTATTTCAGCTCTCTAAACAGAAGAGGGAGAATGGGTTGGGAGAGTGCAGAATATTTATTCTCCACCCACATTGCCAGTGGCCAGGACCACCAGGAGCTCAAAATGCAGAATATAGGAGGGCCCAGGGCCTACGGGGGAGCTAGGCTTATTGGATTCCCAGCTGGTGCCACCCTGACCTGTAATGGTCCCCTTCCCTACTCGGTGCTTACTTGGCAATGGCTAGAAAGGCTAACTCCACGTTCATGCCTGTCTTGGCACTGGTTTCCATGAAGGGAACCCCGTACTCCTGTGGAGGAAGGGGAGAGGGTCCTCAGGGCCAGTCTCTGGCTACCCACCCCCCACATTGGTAGTCACTTACCCTAGCCAATGTCTCTCCATCCTCCATGCGTATCATCCTTTCATTGCTCACATCTGCCTGTCAAACACAGAGGGGGTCACTCCAGGGAAGGAAGCCTTGATCCCAGCTGGCCCAACTTTTGCCCCAGGAGCAGGCATTGCCTGCCCTCTGCTGGTGACTACGAGGAGCAGGTGTGATTGGACTGGAGCCAGGGTTTCTGCCTTGTTTGGGCTGCCTGCCCATAATATCCAGGCCTGGGATCTCATCTCTGACCCTGGGAGATGAGTAATTCTCTTTAGCAAAGGGTGTGGTGACCCAGCCTCAGTGGGGGAAATGACAGCAGTTGGGGATAACCCATTATAACCCTAGCCCTTGACCCTTGACCCTATTCACTATGATCTCATGGTGGCTGGCAGTTGACCAAGTCTACATCTCAGAGCACAGCTTGGGCTTTCCCTAGGAGGGATGAGATAGGTGGAAGTAACCAGGCCGGGTCTAAGTCCTGCCTGGAGATGAGAGAGTCCTTGGCCAGGGTAGGTGGGAGGAGAGGAGGGGCAGGGTGGGCTGCTCCTGCCACTGGACCACTCACCTTGTTGCCTAGCAGCATGATCACCACATCCCTCTGGGCATACTCGTGAATTTCTGTGAGCCAGGCCTATGGGAGAGGAAGAACTGAGCCAAGCCAAGGCTGATAGCCAGGCCATTCTTCTGGAGGGCCCTGTTGAGGATTCTAAGATCATATAAGGGGGTCAGTGATCAAAAGTAATGTGATTGGCCGAGTGTGGTGGTATATACCTGTAATCTCAGACGAAGAGACAAGAAAAGAATTCTAGGCCAGCCTGGGCTACATAGCAAGACTGATTCTGTCTTAAAAAGATAAGCAACCCACCAAACAACAACAACAACAAACAACTCCTAATGGCTGGGGATGTAGCTCAGTGGTAGAGCACTTACATGAGGTTCTGGGTTTCATTTTCAGCACTGGGATTGATTAGTTGTGTCTGCCATGAGCCTGGGCTAAGGAATGGCGGTATGAATGCCATGAACTTCCCATTATTTTGTGTCTACATGCCTTGTCCTCCCAGTTTGCTTGTCAGTACAGTTCTTGAGGTCAGGGAATATGTAAAACCTGTACAATGTTTTGCATGGAATCAGTGCTTATATTTATGAGATGATTTCCTGTGTTTTCTAATGGTTTGCTTGTGAGGACTTAGCCACTCACTCTGTCTTGCCTGAGTTGCAGCTCACTCTGAATAGGCTTTGCCCTGGGTTTGTATGGATAAAAGCCGAGGGCAGAGCTAGAAGTGTTCTGAACACTTTGACATGAAGCACACTCATGAATCATGGTCAGGACGACGCAGGTGGCATGGTGCACAATAGTCTGCTTGGCCTCCAGGCTCGCATGGCATCAGATGCCCAGACACAGCTGGGGGTTTCTTGGCAGGTGCCAGGATTCCATGGTCTGCTCATTCCCACAGAGCTGGAAAGAATCTGGCCAGCAGAAGCCCCATCTCGGCAATTTCTCCAGAAAGGAGGACCTACCCTGATGTTGTCGAAGGAGGACTTATTGGTGATGTCATACAGCAGGAGCAAGGCTGGAGGGGGACAGAGAATGACAGGGGATCAGGGAAGCGGCACGGGTGGGTGTTGCAGACAGGCTGGAGGGAGGTGGACGTACCCTGCGCATCTCGGTAGTAGGCGTGCGTAACACTGCGGAAGCGCTCTTGGCCTGCGGTATCCCAGATCTAAGAAGGGAGGAAAAGGTCAGAAAAGAGGCAGGGGGCAGGGACTGCTGTGGCAGAGCAGCTGTCTGTGGAAGGGGAGTGGGGGGGGCTGGCTGCAGTTATAGGTTCTTAAGGTCTCTCTGGTGTTTGACAAAGCCAGGCACTGGTGGCTCACAACACTGGCTACTCAGGAGGCTGAGATCTGAGGATCCTGGTTTGAAGCCAGCCCAAGTAGAAAAATCTATGAGACTCTTATCTCCAATTACCCAGCAAAAAGCTAGAAGTGGACCTGTGGCTCAAATGACAGAAAATCAGTCTTGAACAAAAAAGGCAAGTGAGAGTGTGAAGCCTTAAGTTTAAACCCCAGTATTAGCATGCCCGCACACGCGTGTATACACACACACACACACATAATGACATCACCCATTTGGTGCTGCCTCTTTTTCCAAGTCTGTGTGTGTGTGTGTGTGCAAAGAGCCCCAGATAATTGGGGAAGAGATGGAGGGACGGCTGAGGCATTTTAAGTATGGTTTTCTGCAGACAGGGCATAGAGAAAAACCATTTCCTCTCATGGGCCCCACAGGAAGTTACCCCAGCAGAGGGGCTGGGCTGCAGGCCTCTGTGGTTCAGGGTGAAGAGCGATTAAGGTCAGGTACCGCCACCACCTCCCTTCCCCCTCCCAGCCTCTGGTCTCACCTGCAGCTTCACCCTGGTGCCATCCACGGTCACCACCTTGTTCTGAAAGAGAAGAAGGCAGAGGGTGGGGAGGGCAGGGGAAGCTGGAGCCTCAACCCTGACATCTTGTCCTGGTCGCTTTCCAGGACTACAGGCAATGTGCTGAGCCCAGACCTACCTTTACTCAGATCACACCATCAGGGCAGTGGGATCTTTGTCCCCAGATACCTCCACTGAAGACTCTTCTCCTAACACAACAGAGCAAATCTGCGTGGCTCTCTCCAGAGCTCAGCCAGCAGCATGGGGACAGCACTTGCCCACCACCATCTTTTTCTCCTCGACAAAAAGCCCCATGACTGTCACCAAGTCCTCGGAGACAAGGGGCCCTCAGATAGCTGGGTCAGCTTCTCTCTACCTGCCCACAGTTTGCTCAGTGCCACTTTGGCACATCAAAGATGGGATCTCTGTGTGTGTGTGTGTGTGTGTGTGTGTCCTGCAAGTGAGAGGCTCTCTTATGCAGTGGGGTGGGTCGGCCCTCTTAGGGGCAGTGCCCAGGAGTGGAGGAGAGACTCAGCCTTGTTTTTCACATCAAGTAAGTGGGCAGGGTGCTGCCCTGCTCTGATGGCTCTCCTCTAATCTGGCCACCTCCATTGCGGTGGAGAGGGCTGTTGGGGTCCTCCAGGCAGTGAGCCATGGATGTCCTTGGGAGCCAGGGGGAGGGGCAAGTGGAGAGTAGCCCCCTGATCCTGAGCTCTAGCCAAGGCTCACTGCTGGGAGGAGGAGCCTATAGCCACCTCACCCTGAAGTCTATGCCGACCGTGGCTATGAAGGTCCCGGACAGGAAGGCCCCATCTTTGAATTGGATCAGGAAACAGGTTTTGCCGACACCAGAGTCTCCCAGAAGCATCACCTAGGAGATTGGGAGGGAGGGAGGGAGGGGGAGGCAGTTAACAAGGATTGGGGAGAAGGGGACCTCTGGGATTCTAAGGAGAGATGTGGAAAAGGGATCCGTGGCGGGGAGAGGCAGGACTGAGGGGTACCCCTGTCACAGAGAGCCTGCCACTGTCTCCTGTGTCTCCTCTTCAGGCTCCTTGCCTGCACCATCCAGACCTTCCCTCTGACCCTCCATCCCCATGCAATGTCCTGGATGTTGAGACCGCCATTGTGTTTAGTGGCCCCAGAGAACCTCCCATTTGTGTGCTCTAGACTCTGCACACCTTTGTCCACTGCCACATAGCTCAGGGAGTCTGTCCCTTGTGTGTGCCACTTAGGTATGGGTACACGGGTAGGACAGGACCCCACTTCAGAAAGTTTATCAGAACCTAATAGGCCCGGGCTGCTGGCCCAGGCATATTTAAAATGACCATTGTTTGGGTTTCTTTTTAGGTCAGGCATTTATCTGGAAGTTTCTAATGAGGGTTTCTGTGTAAAAAGGCTTGCATGAATTAGGGAAGGGTAGAATTTACACTGTGATAAGGAGACATTTAGTCTGAAATTCTTTCGGAAGAAACCTCCTAAATGGGACAAATGGCTGCCTTGGGTCATTGCAGGGAACATGGAAGAATGGGGGAGGAAAGCTCTTTGTCCACTTGTTATTTTAGTCTTTTTTAAAAAAATCATTCGTGGGGCCTGAACTCTGGGCTTGGGCGCTGTCCCTCAGCTCTTCCCTCAGCTTTGAGCTAGTGCTCTACCACTTGAGCCACAGCGCCACTTCCCACTTTTTCTGATTTATGTGGTGCTGAGGAATGGAACCCAGGGCCTCATGCATGCAAGGCAAGCGTTCTACCATTGAGCCACCTTCCCAGGTCCATCCTTTAGTCTTAAAAGATCGTCTATACCAAACTGCCTGTTAAACTGCTAATTAGGGTGTGTGTGTATGTGTGTGTGTAGACACACACAAGTGGGACACACACACACACACACACACACACGGACCTGTACTGGGGCTTAAACACAGGACCTGGGCACTGCTCCTTTTTTTACTCAAGGCTACTGCATGAGCCACAGCTCCAACTGCTGTGGGCTTTTTTTTTTTTTTTTTGCCAGTCCTGGAGCTTGAACTCAGGCCTGGCACTATCCCTGAGTTTCTTTTGCTCAAGGCTAGCACTCTACCATTTGAGCCACAGTGCCACTTCTGGCTTTTTCTATTTATGTGGTGCTGAGGAATCGAACCCAGGGCTTCATGCATACTAGGCAAGCATTCTACCACTGAGCCACATTTCCAGCCCCCTGTGGGCTTTTAAAAAAAAAAAGTAGTTAACTGGAGATTTGCATCTCACAGACTTTCCTGCCTGGGCTGGCTTTGAACCAATATCCTCAGAGTTCAGCCTCCCCAGGAGTAGGATTACAGGTGTGAGCCACTAGTGCCTTGCCTAACTAGGCTGTTGAATTGAGGTTTGCAGCTTGAGTGGAGCCCAAGGCTTTCCTGCCGTGGCTGCAGGGGCAGAGTGGGGGGGGGAGGTTAGGATTAGTTAGCTTTGCTGGAGAGACAGGGGGCCTGAGTAGGGGAGTGTAAGGTGGGATCCTGGCTTGTAAATGGCAGGCTGTATGACTTTGGGAAGGTTCCTGAGATGTGTTGCTGCAGTCTGGTCTCCACAGTAGGTGAATGGGAGGAAGGATCGTTTCTTCCAGGTCTTTCTAGAGTTTGTCAACTGCTGGGGACTATAATGTTGGGGTGAATCAACCCTAGACCTCATGGAGGAGTGGCCCAGGAAGGGATGGGTGGGTTCAGCCTGTTAGTGCCCTCACCTTTCTTCTTTTCTTTTGGTGGGTCTTGGGGCTTGAACTCTGGGCCTGGGCGTTGTCCTTGAGCTCCTTTCCTCAAGGCTAGTGCTCTATCACTCTGAGCCATAGCTCCACTTCTCCCATCCCTCTTTATCTGGGCTGAGACTCAGGATTGGGGAATGACTCTTTTGCAGGCGCAGCCTTGGGTCAAGGGACAGACCGGGGTGGGGAGAGAGAGGGTCCTCTGGACTCTCTGCTCCTCCCAGCCTCAGATGAGGAGGGAGGGAGACAGAACCAGTGTCTGTGTGCTTTACAGATCACAGCTGCCTTGAGTAAACCATCCACCCAGCCACCCGGCCAAGCAAGTCCACTAAACACAAACAGCCGCTCAGCTTCGCCACCTCCTAGGCAAACAGCCCAGCTGGCTTGTAGGGCAACAAGGTCGGGAGGTCCCCATCAGTCAGGGGGAGGCTGGCCATCCACAGCTCCCCTCACCCCAAGGTGCAGAGGCCCATTTCCGGCCACAAGCCCACACAGGACGCTTATCTCAACGGTTCTGGGCTGCTGGCCCATAGCCTGGCTTCCCTTGAAATGCTGGGGTGGAAGCTCGAGGCTCCCAGTGAGATGGAGACGCACTGAGGGGGGAGGAAGGGAAGCAAAATGTGAAGTGTAGGTCTGCTCCTCATGTCTCTCAAGAGTTCCTGGCAGCCAGGAGTGGGTCGATCACGCCTGTAATCCTAGCTACTCAGAAGGTTGAGATCTGAGGATCATGGTTCAAAGCCAGATCGGGCAGCAAAGTCCATGAGACTCTTATCTCCAATGAACCACCAGAAAACCAGAAGTGGTGCTGTGGCTCAAGTGGTAGAGAGCTTGCCTTGAGGTGAAGAGCTCAGGGACAGCACCTAGGCTCAGAGTTCAAGCCCCACGACCGACCAAAAAAAAAAAGAGTTCCTGGCATTACCTGTCTTATGAAATTGTAATCCATTTTGTCCAATTCAATAATAATAACAATAATTATTATTATTCCTGGTGAGGACACACTCCTGCTGAGGACACACACAGAGGGAGGAGATAGACCACTGTTCACCCTGCCCCTACCTACTTCCACACAGGGTACCCTGCAGAGAGTGTGCACCTCAGAGCTGCCCTGCCAGCTGTCCCAGGTGGTGGAGGTTGACACCAACCCCTTCAGTCCTTCTCAGGTTCTAGAAACTTCCAGGTGGGCCTGTGCTCTGGCTAGCAAAAGCCACCTGGAGGGGGTGAGGCCTGACCTCCTGCTGGGCAGGAGGCAGTGCCTAGGACTTGCAGCTGGGAGGGCTAGATCAGGCAATAACTTCAAGCCTTAGGCTTTAAAACTGGAAGTCTGCTCTCTACTGAGAGACCAGAAAAAGGCATTAGAGTGACCCAGGCCACCCAGGGTGCCCTTTCTGAGTCTCTAGTAGGGAAGGTGGGGTCACTTAACCCTGGCGGTGCGCTTAACCCTGGACAAGAGGCAAGCAATCTCAGGGCCTCATATTAGCTAAAGCATGGCAGAAGAGAACTGGCGTGGGGTGCGCGGCGTGGGGAGTCTCAGCCTTCCGATAATAACTTATCCTGTGCCCTCTGAGCTAGCCCAGATCCCGAGATACGGATGTGGCCGCCCCCAGGGGCTGCATCTTCATCTCCCTGCCCTCCTCTGGGGGTGTCCGTTCAGAGGACTGATTGGAGGAAGGGCTGAGTCTACCTCACAAGCAGTCAGAAAAGAGGCCGGGGCCGGGGAGGGCCGGGGTCCCAGGGCGCAGGGAGGGGTGTCCTGCAGAGCGGGCACAGGAGTCCCAGCGCTGGGAGCAGCGCCCACCCACCTTGCCCGTGAGATCGTAGCTTGGACTGCAGGGAGGGGAGCGCTCGTGGGCCTCGCCATCCCGGGAGGCAGCGGCGCCGGGTGTGCCGGTCATGTCCCCGGATTGATGAGAGGTGAACCCGGGCTCGCCAGCCGCGGAGGAGCAGCACGGCCCCGCCCCGCCCCGCCCCGGGCCCCGCCCCGCCCCGGGCCCCGCCCCGCCCCGGGCCCCGCCCCGCCCCGGGCCCCGCCCCGCCCCGGGCCCCGCCCCGCCCCGGGCCCCGCCCCGCCCCGGGCCCCGCCCCGCCCCGGGCCCCGCCCCGCCCCGGGCCCCGCCCCGCCCCGGGCCCCGCCCCGCCCCGGGCCCCGCCCCGCCCCGGGCCCCGCCCCGCCCCGGGCCCCGCCCCGCCCCGGGCCCCGCCCCGCCCCGGGCCCCGCCCCGCCCCGGGCCCCGCCCCGCCCCGGGCCCCGCCCCGCCCCGGGCCCCGCCCACTCCTTCCTCCCCTCCGCCAACCCCGCGCCCTGAGCATCCTTGACCCGGCTTCATGAGCTTTAGGGCCTGGGCCAAATTCAGCCCTCGATCGCAAGCCTGGGGTTAGGTCCTCATCGTGGTGCGCAGGTCGGCTTCGTCCATGCCGGCGGAGCAGCGCAGGGGTCCCGTTGTCAGCGCGCAGCTCTGCCAGCAGGGGGCGCCCGCGCCCGGGTCCCTGGCGGGCACTGGACCCCCCCCCGGCGGGCACTGGAAGCCCCTGGCTGGCACTGGGCACCCCTGGCTAGCACTGGGCCCCCCTGGCGGGCACTGGGCCCCCCCTGGCGGGCACTGGGCGCCCCTGGCTGGCACTGGAAGCCATTGGAGGGCACTGGGCCCCCCTGGCGGGCACTGGACCCCCCTGGCGGGCACTGGACCCCCCTGGCGGGCACTGGGCCCCCCTGGTGGGCACTGGGCGCCCCTGGCTGGCACTGGGCGCCCCTGGCGGGCACTGGGCCCCCCTGGTGGGCACTGGGCACCCCTGGCGGGCACTGGGCGCCCCTGGCTGGCACTGGAAGCCCTGGAGGGCACTGGGTCCCCCCTGGCTGGCACTGGGCACCCCTGGCTGGCACAGGAAGCTTGAGAAGAGGCTGGAAACGCCCTTGGCAACGCCGAGCAGCCTTTGACTTGAGTTCATTCTGCGGTCACCAAGACGGTTTCCTTCTTGCTGGTGCACTCCAGCCCCAGCTCACCTGAATGTAGTTTTGTTTACAGATATTCACCTTGACTCACAAACGTGCCCCAAGTTGGTGCTAGGACTTCCTTCCTTCCTAGGATATCATCTTTTATCCACCCCCACCCCCCATTGTTGCCCTTGAGTCCAGACTGGACCACCGTGAGGCTGCCTTCGCCGGTGGGCTTCGCACCACACCTGGGCTGTGTACCACACCTTCCCACCAATCAGTCACATGACCCTCATCCTGGCATCCTGAGTCATGCCGCAGCTCCTGGTGACAGAGCATGAGGATTGTATCTGAGGTTGCCCCTGGTGGAGTTCAGGGACTTGAAGCCTGGGTTGATTTTCAATGACCAACATTTCATCCCAATATTCTGTGTAAGGGGACGAGGTGCATGCAAAGGAACTGTTTGAAGGTTGTGTGGGGATGGAGGGCCAAGGGGCATGTCTGGCTTGTGGGTGGCAGGAGGTGGTATATGGGGGCTACTTGTGTGTACAGCAGCCTGGGGAGATTTTGGTATCTGCTGGAGCTCTTTTGTGGCTGCTGGAAAAAGAGCTCAGGGCAGGGACAGAGGGGAGCTGGTACAGAGCCAGGAGTTTGTGGTGGTGGACGTGCCACATCGTCATCTGTGCATAGAATGGGACTCAACCAGGGGAGCTGTGGGGGTAGCAGAGGCTCCTGGGAGTAAGAGTTCAATGCTATGGCCTCCGGGCTCTAGAGGGCGCACTTGGGAACCCTGTCGGGCTCAGCATGTCTAATGCAAGAGAGTAAGAGGCAAGCACCTTGCCCTTTCCTCCCTTTCCATTGGAACTATTTGCTAATAAGGACTGAATTGTGTCACCCAAAGGATACATGAAGTCTTAAGCCCCAGTACCCTAGAATGCAACCTCATTGGGCAATAAGGCCTTTGCAGATGTAATTGGTTAAGATGAGGTCATACTGAAGTAGGGTGGGCCCTTAATCCAATATGAGGGGTGTCATAAGCAAGAGCCTCTGGTGTCCACACAGCAACAGCGCGTATCTGTGCAGAACAGAGGTGTACAACACCATCCAGAGACCGGGGCAGAGGCTGGACACTCTCTGTTGGCTCCCAGCTGTCCAGCCCCCTCCCATGTCCCACCCCCAGCCCAGCTGGTCCCGGTCTTTGGGAGCACCTGTGCCTTGGTCCACAGCCTGTCTTTCCGCCCCCCCCCCCCCCCCCCCGTCCTCTGCACAGTCACCTGAAGCCATGGGCGAGCCCATTTCTGGTTTTCCCTTTCTGTCTTCCCACCAGTGTGGCATGCCACATTCCAGCCAGAGTGTCACCTCAGGACAGGCCTATGCTCCCATTTGTCCTAGACTCTAGGACCTAGAGGTTCCCAAAGACCCACCTGTAGAGACACTTTACTTTTTCCTGTCTTGGGGATGCTAGGATTTGGGGGATACCACAGTGCCAGAAAGGAGCAAGGCCCTCTCTCTGCCAAGACCTCCCAGTCAGAGGAGAGCAGCGTAGAGCATCTCCGAGCACTGTAGGCCAGGGACAATATGGCAGAGTGAGGACTGTGCAGCCGCCGAGGGTCACTGGGCAGGACACGTGTGCGACCATACTGATTGCCTGCTGTTCCTGTCATTCCTTTTTTTCCCCTCCAGATTTTTCATGGCTGGTGGGTTGGCCTAAGAAATCTCTACCTCGATACCAATATATCTTTGACCTTTCACTTCTAGTTGTGTTGCGTCAATGGGGACTTCCAAGGGCTGTGGGGAGCAGAAGAGCCAGATGGGGGTAAGAGGAATTGTACCCTTGGCTGCATTCTAGGGTGTTCTTCTGGGCTTCTGGGGCCTGATTACCATGCAGTAACCACTACTGGTGGCCTGCCCAGCACCCTCTTTGTCCTCCGGTTTTGTAGACATAAAAGTGGGGTGGAGCCTTTGCACCCCCGAGAGGACAGTCTTACTCCATCTGGCCCCAGCACCTCAAGGAACAGATTTTCCTTGGTGCTGATGCTGAGGCTTGAGGTGAGGGCCTCAGGCTCTCAACTGACTTTCTCATTCAAGGCTGCCATGCTGCCACTTGAGTCACATCTCCATTTCCCGCTTTTTGCTGGTTAATTGGTGATAAGAATCTCAGAGACTTTCCTGCAGGGCTGACTTGGAGCCTTGATCCTCAGGTCTCAGCCTTCTGAGTAGCTAGGCATTAGCCACCAGCACCCAGAAGAAACCGACTTCTTGTTCCTCTTCCTCTCATGGTCCCACATGAGCACCCCACCTCTTTCCAGCCATTTGCCTGCTATTCCCAGAGCCCCGCCCACAGCTGGCGTGCCAGCAAATGCTTACTGTGAATCCGATGCCCACAGTGGCTGAGAAGGAGCCTGGGATGAACTTGCCCTGGTCAAACTGAACCAGCAGAGATGTCTTCCCCACACCACTGTCGCCAACCAGGATGGTCTGAAAGGGAGCAAGGAGAGAGAGAGGGGTGGGGCTGTGTTCCACTCAGGCCTCTCTTTCTGAACACACACACACACACACACACACACACACACACACACAGACACTTGATTTCCTTCCTTCCTTCCTTCCTTCCTTCCTTCCTTCCTTCCTTCCGTCCTTCCTTCCTTCCTTCCTTCCGTCCTTCCTTCCTTCTTTCCTTCCTTCCTTCCTTCCTTCCTTCCTTTCTTCCTTCCTTCCTTCTTTCCTTCCTTCCTTCCTTCCTTCTTTCCTTCCTTCCTTCCTTCTTTCCTTCCTTCCTCTCTCTCTCTCTTTCTTTCTTTCCTTCTTTCTTTCTTTCATTTCTTGAACTCAGGGCCTGGGAACTGTCCCTGAACTTCTTTTGCTCAAGACTAGCAGCCCTACCACTTGAGCCACAGAGCCACTTTGAGCTTTTTCTGTTTATGTGTTACTGAGGAATCGAACCCAGGGTTTCATGCATGCTAGGCAAGCACTCTAACACTAAGCCAAATTCCTAGCCCCACACTTGATTTTCTATTGAACTTACTGGAAAAAAAGGCTATAAGTCCTAGAGAAACTCTCACTCCAATCTTAGTTAACAAATGTCTGAAGTGACCATGGAGATATCTCTGGTGGACTTCCAACTACAGGGGCAATAATAACCTGGGGTCTCCATTGTTATCTTCCATTTTGTTTGTTTTGGTCTTAAGCACTGTCCCTTAGCTTTTTAGCTCAAGATTGGTGCTTTTCCACTTGAGCCACAGCTCCACCTCCAGCTTTTTTTTCCATCATGGGGCTTGAACTCTAGGCTTGGGTGCTGTCCTTGAGCTCTTCAGCTCAGGGTGAGCACTTTACCACTTGAACCACAGCACCACTTCTGGTTTTCTGGTGGTTTGTTCGAGATAAGAATCTCATGGACTTTCCTGCCCGGCTGGCTTTGAACCATGAGCCCCCGGTGCCTGGCCCAATCCCCATTTCTTTCATGGGTATTTTTCTAATAGAAACTCCTGTACATTTAATTCCCTTTTGGCATCTGCTCCTTGGAGGAACTAAGTGAATGTGCATAGATCTGTACGCCCTTATCCATGAACACTGGACCATGGAATCAAGCAAAATCAGGACTCCTGGTGTGAACCCCAGAAATAGTTCACATGACTCTAGAATAAGGCAGACCTTTCTTGGACAGGTCAACATTTCAGACAAGCCCATTTGAGGGAAAGGAAAAAGGCTCCTGACCCTCGAGAGGTGTGTACTTGAAGAACAGAACGAAATTCCATGTGGCTTTCATTTCCTCCTGGAGTATAGAGCTCTATTTGTTTTTTAAATGAACAATGGCTTTATTAATTTGCATCTCAAATCTAAAGTGCTTCCTAGAGAGAATATTCCAGAAGACTAGGAGGGAGTTCATGCATGTCCTAAAGGATAGGATAGGTTTGAATTTATTCCCCTTTAATCATTTCCTTGGGGTCTGCTGGCTGGTGGCTGGAGCAGCTTTGGCTCAGCTCCACGTATGTCTGTCAGCTGCTGGTCTGTCAGCTGTCTGTCCCCCTGGCAGAGATAAAGATACAGGAATCAGGAGGAAGTGTGGGGGTTCCAGGCTAGGTCTGGGGTCTAGCACCTCCCCCCCTTCTCCTGAACTCCAGTGGGCAAAGAGGGTCCTGAGTCTGCAAAGGTTTTAGAGAGAAGAACCCCCCTGAATGATCAAGTGTACATCAGGAGAGGAAAGGGAGGGTCCATCCATCTGTCTACTTCAGGACTGGAGGTTATATAATTCTGGGGATCCTTTGAGGACAAAAGAGCCTCCATTTAAGACGATAAACTTTGGTCCAGGGCCATGGAAAGAATCCTGCTAGGTGAGGAATGTGTTGTTTCAGCTCCATCTTAAGGGAAAGCCATCAAAGCCCCACCAGTATGGCCACGAAGAGCTCAGTGAGCCAGCCACGCCCCCCAGGGAGGCGGCTCTGCTCTTCTGTGGTTTCCTTCTTGTCTACCTGGTTCAGACTTTGCTTCTCATACTTCTCATGTGGGCTGTGCAACTCACTTCCCATGGGACTTTGGGGGCAGAGTGGGGAGACACTTTTCAACTTGGGGTGCCTCCACCCATGACCATTTCAGGATCCTTGAGTTTTGAAGCAATCTGTTTGCAAGTGTACAGGGACCAAGAGAAGTAGCTGGAAGCCAGGAGCCGGTGGCTCTTGAACCTGAGGATCATGGTTCCAAGCCAGCCTGGGCAGGAAAGTCTGTGAGACTCTCTTTTGTTGTTGTTGTTGGTGGTGGTGGTGGTGGTAGGGCTTGAACTCTGGGCTTGGGCACCGTCCCTCAGCTCTTCTGCTCAAGGCGAGCTCTCTATCACTTGAGCCCCAGTGCCACTTCTGTTTTTTTGGTGGTTAACTGGAGATAAGAGTCTCCTGGACTTTCCTGCCTGGGCTGGCTTTGAACTGTAATCCTCAGATCTCAGCCTCCTGAGGAGCTAGGATTACAGGCGTGAGCCACCAGCGCCTGACCTCTGTGAGACTCTTATCTCCACTAAACTACCAAAAAAGCTGGAAGTGGAGCTGTGGCTCAAGTGGTAGAGCACTAGCCTTGAGCAAAAGAAGCTCAGACACAATGCCCAGGCCTGGAGTTCTAGTGCTAGGACCATCAAAAAAAACGACCATCAAAAAAAAAAGTAACTCAAGCAAGTGTTTGTTCTTATAACCTGGATAAGCCAATGGATACGTTTACACACACACACACACACACACACACACACACCATTCACTAACGCACACATGTGCACATAACTTCTTCCATAAACGAGAACACACACCACACATGTATACACGTGTGCGTGTGTGTGCGCACGCACACACACACACACACACACACACACACACACACACACACACGGGAACTTGTAAACTCAGGTGCTTGAGGGTAGAGGGCTTCTTGGATGACCTGTTTAACCCTTCTACCAGTGGGATGTGGGAGCTGGGAAGGTGACGAGTCAGACAGAAGCCAATGGCCAAAACAAGTGCCTTCAGTGGATCTTTGAAGACTAAGAGCCTGCAAATACCACCTTGCTCATAGTACACCAACATCTTTGTTTAAGAGGCCATCTTGAGACCATTAGAGACACTCAGCTGAATCTGTGTGCTTGGTTCAAAGGAGAATCCTCCTCCTGGGTGGGTGTATGGGGAGGGCTCAGATCAGAGAATCTGGCTCCTGACCAGGACTCTGTATCGATGTCCTGTTCATCCCCTCTGTCCAGGCTCTCTATCCTGCTAAATGCTGGGATTACAGGAGAGCTCCACCATACTAAGTTGTTCTCTGGGTTTTGACCTCTCTGGTCTAGAATCTGTCCTCTGGCTTCTGACTTTGACTACAATCCCCCTCAATCCTGTTGAACGTCTGCCTTCTGGGTTCCTGACAGTTTGGCCATACTTGAACTCCAAGATCTAGAATGTTCTTTTAATCAGCCTTAGGTCTCCAAGGTCTGCTGGGTCGTCACATCCCAGCCTCCCCACTGGGGATGGAGGGAGGCTGGGATAAGGGCCGAGCAGAACCACTGATTTGTTCACAAGATAGAGAGGAGATACAGTTCTCCTTTTGATATTTCTCAAAAGGTTTTCATGATCATTCCTAGCTCTTGCATTGCTCATTGCTTTGAAATTTCACCCATTCCACCTTCTTCCTCTTTTGGTTTTATTCACCAGTCGGAAGTGGCTGGAGGAGGAAGTCAGCAGAGTAAGAGTGAGCGAAGGCAGAGGACTGGGAAATGGAGCGGAGCCCATAGTTTCTTCTTGCTGTGAGGCTCTTTCAAAGGGGAAGGGGAGCTACGTGAAGAGAAAATGTACCTGCCACTGCTCTTTCTCCTTGTTTCCTGGCTTCTGGGTGAGTGGGTCTGGGGCTGCACTTGTGGGGAAGGCTGATTTAAGCAGATGAAGTTAGCAGAGCAACCTGGTAGCCTAGCAAGAAGAAATCCTTCATAGTATGAGTAGCGTGTATTTCATCTGCTCATTTCCTCTATGCTTTGGTGACTGTCAGGCAGAGACTTGGAGGCCTTCATCTGGAACCTGGCCCAGAGCTTAATTCCTACCACTCAGAAGTGGATCATATTTCAGATGGGCAGGCTGATGGTCTCGCTGGATGAGGAAGAGCCGGGAGCCCTAGTTACCTAGGGGGCTGAAGGATTCCTAATCCTGGGCTGGACTGTGGAGCTAGGGAAGATGGGAGGGTGAGGGGATCTGCTGGATGGGAATGAGAGGTAGCTCCCAGGCATGTGGGCCAAAAGGAAACACTAGAAGTGACTGAGGGGGTAGAAGGATGATGAAGAAGCCTGGATGAGGAGGAGAGATGCTGGGACGTGGACACAGGCAGAAGGCTGAAATCAAGTGCGTGTGTACTACTTTCATCAAAAGGGCAATGTATTTTCTTTTTGGTTATTATTATTATATTTTGGTGCCAGTACTGGGCCTCGCATTCTTTTTTTTTTTCATTGGTCGTAGGGCTTGAACTCTGGGCTTGGGCACTGTCCCTCAGCTCTTCAGCGCAAGGCCACTTGAGCCACAGTGCCACTTTCCCGTTTTCTGGTGGTTTATTGGAGATAAGAGTTGCACGGACTTTCCTGCCCAGGTTGGCTTTGAACCCTGATCCTCAGATCTCTGCCTCCTGAGTAGCTAGGATTACAGGCATGAGCCACCAGCACCAGGCCTTGGGCCTCACACTCTTGCTTACTTTTTTTTTTTTTTTTTGCTTAAGGCTAGTTCTCTATCACTTGAGTTTTTGGCTTTTATGCTGGTTAATTGGAGATAAGAGTCACAAGGAAGCCAGATGCCGGTGGCTCATGCCTGTAATCCTAGCTACTCAGGAGGCTGAGACCTGAGGATCAAGGTTCAAAGCCAGCCTGGGCAGGAAAGTCCATGAGACTCTTATCTCCAATAAACCACTAGAAAACCAGAAGTGGCACTGTAGCTCAAGTGGTAGAGTGCTTGCCTTGAGCTGAAGAGTGCAGGGATAGCACCCAAGCCCAGAGTTCAAGCCCCACGACCGATAAAAAAAAAAAAAAAGAGTCACAAGGACCTTCCTGCCAGGCTGGATTTGAACCTTGATCCTCAGATCTCAGTCTCCTGAGTAGCTAGGATTTCTGAGATAAGCCACCAGTGTCCACCTAGAAGGGAATTTTCTTGACCTGTACATGTTGGTTGGTCACAGGGTTTAGCCCTTTGGCTTTTCCTTCTCTGAAGTCACTCCTCTGTTTATCTTTCCTTTTCTCTTGGCTCGATTGTAATCTCAAGCCAATATAACAATATAGCATTATTATAAGCAATATAACAATGTTATACCCCTAGCTTTTATATCTCCCAGGCTTCAGACTCATACAGCAAACTGCGAACTCAACATCTCCACCCAGGTGATGAAATTTCAATGTGAACGGGTCAAATCTTTCCCCACCAGAGCCCTTTCTTCCCTCGTCTTTCCCATCTTTGTGTTTTTCTTTACTTTTTTTTGCCAGTCCTGGGATTGAACTCAGGACCTGGGCAATGTCCCTGAGCTTCTTTGTGCTCAAGGCTAGCTAGCACTCTACCACTTGAGCTGCAGCACCACTTCTACCCTTTTCTGTTTATGTGGTACTTAGGAATGGAACCCAGGGCTTCATACATGCTAAGCAAGCACTCTACCACTAAGCCACACTCCCAGCCTTTGTGTTTTTCAACTTCACCTTTCTCAACAAAAAGGAAGAAGAGAAATGATATTATAAGTGGAAAAATCTGGTGTAACCAACAAAAATAAAATAGCACAGCTAATAAAAAATGTGTAGTTTTGATAGATGTGAAAATTTTAGTTACAAAAGGTTTTTTTTTTTGGTAACTACCAACCCTTACTTTAATACATACTCCATGAGACAGGTAACTTTCCAGCAGGAAACAACCCCAGAAGTTAATAAGGTTGATTTAAGAATAAAGTTGGGTATGATAGGAGGCACCTGTAATTATAGCTACTTGCAAGGCTGAGATCCCTTGAGGCTAGTTAGAAGCCAGTCTGGGAAACACAATGAGGTTCTGTCTCAAAATAAAATAGAACTAACCAGCCAACCAACCAACTAATCAACCAATGAGAAACCGACTAGACCAATAACAAAAGAAAAATTTTAAGTTATCCAAGAATTCATTTCAACAAAGACTGTAATGCCAGAGAATTTTGCATAGACTTTTCTAAGATTTTTAAACAGAATTCCATCAGGGGACTGGTAGTGCATGCCTGTAATAGCAACTCAGGAGGCTAAGATCTGAAGATTGAGGTTTGGGACCAGTCCAGTCAGAAAACTGTGTTAGATTCTTACCTCCAGTTAACCAGCAAAAGGCCAGACGTGGAGCTGTGGTTCAAATGGTAGAATACAAAGTGAGAGCATGAGGCTCTGAATTCAAGCCCAATGCAAGAAAGAAAGAAAGAAAGAAAAGGGAAGGAAAAGAAAAGAAAAGGAGAAAGAAAATTCCTAATTGGGTGCCAGCGGCTCATGCCATTATTCAAATCACGATGGCGTGTGGGTGCAGGTTGTCAGGGTGGGGCTGACAGGTGTATGGACTGGTGTGTTCCAGGCTGCTGCACTGCAGAAAGGGCTATCACTGGCCCTAGGACAGTGCGTGGCCCAGAGCAGGGCTCCCTGACCGTGCAGTGTGCATATGCTGCGTCGTGGAAGACCTACAACAAGTGGTGGTGTCAAGGCGCACGTTGGAGCAGCTGCGAGATCCTTGTTGAGACCAGCGCCAAAGAGCAGAAGGTGAGGAGGGGCCGTGTGTCCATCACGGACGACCAGACAAACTTTACAATCATGGTGACCATGGAGGATCTCAGGATGAGTGACGCAGATGTGTATTGGTGTGGAATCGAGAGAACTGGAATAGATCTTGGGGTCGAAGTTCAAGTGACAATTGACCCAGGTAAGATTTGTCCCTGAGATACCACTCATGGGAATTAGCTGTCCCTCAGCATGACCCTTCAGGGAGGGGGTTGAGTCCTGAGGTCTCAGGGGAGCTGGGCAGACCACGTGGGTTCGGGAGGGGCAGGGCTTCTCTTAAACAACCCTCCCTCACCGCCCAGAACCTTCTCCAGGGTGGCCTCCCACCTTCCTCTTCAAAGCCCAGGCCTGAGTCTAGTGCCATAGAGGAGAGGGTGATGGTCCCCAGCCCATGGACCAAAGAGACCCCCTTCACTGGTTCCCAGAGACCCCAATAGCTGCCAATGCCTTCCTGGGACCTCAGTACCCAGAATGCCCTGCTCTTTCTGGGAGCTCTGGGCAGCTCCCACTTCCTCTCCAACACTGAGGGTAAAGGTTGCCCAGCAGAGTTGGGGTGCCTAGAAAGATCTCCATAGTCAAACATCTGTATTGCTGGTACCCAAAATCCTACTATGAGCCACTTATGCCACTTGATGGCATTGCCTTTCTAAGTCCTCCTGCATACAGGGACTCCCAGGAGCCGGACACAGACGTCCCAGGGCCTTGGTTTGAAGGATTTCTGTTGCGCTCTTTTGTTCAGTCAGGTGACACTGGCTCACAGGGTACCTGCAAGCCTGAGTGAAACACTACCTGGGATGTGTGAGGGCCAGCACAGAGCATACTGTGTGTATGTGTGTGTGTGTGTGTGTGTGTGTGTGTGTGTGTGTGTGTGTGTGTTTACACGTGTGCGCATGCACACCAGTTCTCGGATTTGAACTCAGGGCCTGGGCACTGTCCTTGAGTTTTTTTGCTCAAGGCTAACACTCTTCCACTTGAGCCACAGCGTCATTTGTGGATTTTTTAGTGGCTAATTCAAGATAAGAGTCTTATGAACTTTCCTGCCTGGACTGGCTCTGAACCACAACTCTCAGATCATAGCTTCCTGAGTAGCTAGAATTACAGACATGAGCCACCGGCACCTGGCATATTTTTTTTTTGTTTGTTTTTGGTCGGTCATGGGGCTTGAACTCTGGGCCTGGGCACTGTCCCTCAGCTCTTCAGCTCAAGGCAAGCGCTCTACCACTTGAGCTACAGCGCCACTTCCGGTTTTCTAGTGGTTTATTGGAGATAGGAGTCTCACGGTCTTTCCTGCCCGGGCTGGCTTTGAACCACGATTCTCAGATCTCAGCCTCCTGAGTAGCTAGGATTACAGGCGTGATCCACCGGCGCCCAGCTCCATCTGGCATATTTGTGTGTGTGTGTGTGTGTGTGTGTGCGCGCGCGCGCGCGCATGTGCCAAAACTAGAGCTTAAACTCAAGGTCTGGCCTTTTTCACTCAAGGCTGGTGCTCTACCACTTGAGCCACGCTTCCACTTCCAGCTTTTTGCTCATCAGTGGAGATAAGAGTCTCAAGGACTTTGTTATCTAGGCTGACTTTGAACCTCAATCCTCAGCCTCCTGAGTAGCTAAGCACATGTTTGTCTTACTGAATCCCACCAGCATCCCGAGAGGAAGAAGCCCCCGGCTAGCCAGAGCTATGGGACTAAACAAGTCTTCACTTGTTCAAAGGAAAGTCTCTTCCTGAATATGAGGGTCTTGTTCAGGGTGGTCTTGATCTTAGGCATAAGTTAGCCACCATGCAAGCCCCCTGTTCAGCTCCTGTCCTGGCTGATGAAGAAGGCTGAAAGGAGGCACTGGCCAAACCCCCATCACATCAGTGAGACTGATGTGCGGCTGAATGCCGGCTGACCTGTCCTGCGCTCTTCTGAACCTCCTCTGAGCCTTCTAAAACTTGCTTAGCATCTTCCAGCACCAACCTGCGTCAAAGCCTCTAGATTCTTTGGGAGTCCCAGGGGCTAGGGTGGCCCGTGGCTTTCTCAGGTTCAAAGCCAGGTGCTGTGCCAGGGGCAGGGTGGCAGGAGGAGGAGTGTGTAATTTGTTCGTTTGCCAAGCACCATCTACAGTGTTGACCACGGTACCTACCACCTCCACTGCAACCACATTTTCAGCATCCACCTCCGTGGAGGAGACCAGCTTCTTCACGACTCTGATCAACGTGAATGTCAGGTAAGCCAGCTTAGATGCTCTGTCCCCTGTGACCCATTGGGCTCAGATGCCTCTAAAAGGAAGCTAGAGTTTGTCCTGGATCTTCACGATCCTTTGCAGGGGTTGGGGGGCTTCCTACTGGCTCTCAGCCTCCATAGACCCTTCATCCTTGAGCAGAAAGTAGTCTGTAGGCTTGCTGGCTCATTCATTCAATTTTACTTGTGTGTGTGTGTGTGTGTGTGTGTGTGTGTGTGTGTGTGTGTGTGTGTGTGTGTGTGTGTGTGTGTGTGTGTGTGTGTGTACCTGTATCTGCCAGGAATGGGGCTTGAACTCAGGGCCTGGATGCTGTCCCTAGCTTTTTCTCTCAGGGATGGCACTTTACTACTTGAGCCACATAGTTCTACTTCTGGCTTTTTGAGGATTAACCAGGGATAAGAATCTCACAAGATTTTTCTTCCCTAATTGGCTTAGAACCATAATCCTCAGATCTCAGTCTCTTAAGTAGCTGGGATTACAGGTGTGAGCCACTGATGCCTGGCCTCAGATCTAACTTTTTTTTTGTCAGTCATGGGGCCTGAACTCTGGGCCTGGGCGCTGTCCCTCAGCTCTTCAGCTCAAGGATAGTGCTCTACCACTGAGCCAACTTCCCAGCCCCAGATCTAACTTCTTTATGGCATATATGGAACACAGAAGTGGAGAGCAATGGGTAGGCATTCATCGAGGACAGTGTGGCTACGGTGTACATGGGTGTAGGCTGTGGCCTAACAAAACTGCCTTCCTTCCTTCCTTCCTTCCTTCCTTCCTTCCTTCCTTCCTTCCTTCCTTCCTTCCTTCCTTCCTTCTTCTTTCTTCTTTCTTCCTTGTGCTGGTACTGGGGCTTGAACTCAAGGCCTTGGGCTCTTTCTTGGCTTTTTCATCTCCAGAGCACCGCCTCCTGCTGGAGCAGCCCCTCCACTTCCCCTCTTGGACTTTCCTGCCTAAGTTGTCTTCAAACTAGGATCCTCAGATGTCAGCCTCCTGAGTAGCTAGGATGTGGGCATGACCCACTGGTGCCTGGCTCATGCCCCAATTTCTGGGAGGGGGGTTTGAGGAAGTCTGTTTTCCTTGAATTTCCTTTTTGGGGAGTTGGTCATGGAGCTAGAACTCTGGGCCTGGGCCCTGAGCTTCTTTTACTTGAGACTAGCGCTGTACCACTTGAGCTACAAGGCCACTTTCAGTTTCCTGGTTTATTGGAAATAAGGGTCTCACAGACTTTTCTTCCTGGGCTGGCTTTGAACCACAATCCTCAGATCTCAGCTTCCTGAGGAACTAGGATTACAGACATGAGCCACTGGTGCCGGGCCTATTCCTTGAATTTCTGTTATGGTGTATGGTGAGAACTGCGGTGGTGGCAGTTCCTTAAATCTCAGGTGGCCCTGGCAGCTCATGAGAGGATAGTCTGTTCTTTGAGCCTGCCTGTGGCCCCTCACAAGAAGGAATGGGCGCAGACATGTTCCCATGTTGGTGTCAAAAGTGAGCATCGTTGCCTTCCTCAGCGAGGGCTGGCCCTGGAGCTGAGAGGGAAGTGTATGGTCTCCAAGAGCAGCGCTTCTGAGAGTCATGCTTCTGAGCACCCAGCCCAGCATCTGCAACCAAAGGGCTTTCTTGAGGTGTAGAGGCCCTTTTACTTCCTCTCTTTGCTTTCCTTGACTCTGCCAAGACACTCTACTGATGAAACCATGGCATAAAAACTATACAGGCAAGCCTTAATCTTTCAATCAGCAAAGATCCACTTCCCCTTTTGCTCTCTCATTTTCCTTTATTTTTGCTTGTGTTATGACCTTACCCTTACTGGGCTACTCTACTACTTGAGCTATACCATACCTCCAGCTCTGCTTGTCTTTCTTTCTTTATTTTTTTTTTTGACTTTCCTGCCTGGGCTGGCTTTGAATCATGATCCTCAGATCTCAGCCTCCTGAGTAGCTAAGATTACCGGTGTGAGCCACCAGCACCCAACATTCTCTTAGCTCTTTTTGCTCAAGGCTGGCACTCAACAACTTGAGCCACAGTTCCACTGTCAGCTTTTGGCTCATTAAGTGAAGATAAGCATCTCATAGACTTTCTGGTCGGGTCTGGCTTCGAACCTTTATCCTCAGATCTCAGCCTCCTGAGTAGCTAGAATTACAGATATGAGCCACTGACACCCAGGTCCAGCTCTGATTATTGCTGGTAAATTTGGAGATGGAGTTTAGCAAGCTTTTGACCTGGCTGGCCTCAGACTGCAATCCTCTAGACCTCAACCTTCTGAGTAGCTAAGATTACAGTTGTGAGCCATTGGCCACCAGGCCAGTCTGGGTGTCACAAACAATAGAAATTTACCTTCCCACAATTCTGGTGGCCATGAGTCAGCAGTGCTGGCTTACATGTGTTGAGATCATCCTTTGGGAAGCTGCACATAGTTCCCTTTGTGCCTGTCTGCGCTGTAATTTCTTCTTATAAGGACACTAGTTACACTGAATTGGCCCTTCCTTAATGACCCATTTCAGCCTAATTACCTCTTTAAAGACTGGGCTCCACTTATATTCTGAAGTAATGGAGGGAGAATCTGCCCAGTGCTGATTTGTTGTTGTTTTAGACTAAATCTCACTAGTAGCTCAAGCTGTCCTGGAACTCCCAATTTTCTGGGATTCCCATGTTCTGGGATTACAGGTGTTAGCAACCAGGTCTGGCTTGCCTTTTGTATCTTCCTTTTAGTGTCTGGTAGCACCAATGATTCCCGCTAGCTGCATTACTTCACTGTCCGCCCCATCAGCATGTGGCATTTTCCTGTGTCATCTGTATGTCCAAATTTCTCCCTTACAAGGCAACAGGCGGATTGGGACTTTGTCTAAACTCAGTGGCATCTACAAAGGCCATTTCTTTTTCTTAATAGGTCACCTTCACAGGCTCTGGTTAGACTTGAAATATGGGGTTTACTATCTATCTATCATCTATCTATCTATCTATCTATCTATCTATCTATCTATCTATCTATCTATCTATCTATCACCTATCTACCTTACATGCTTAGATTGGGGCTTGAGCTGAGGGCCTCATGTTCTTGCTTGATTTTTCTGTTCAAGGCTAGTACTCTACCACTTGAACTACAACTCCACTTTGGGATTTTGGTTGTGTATTGGCTATAAGAGTCTCAGGGACTTCCCTTCCTGGATTGACTTTTAGCCATGACCTTCAGATCTCAGCCTCTTGAGCAGCTAGGATTATGGTCATGTGCATTGATACCTAACTGAGGCATGTTGTTAAACCCAGTAGAGAGGGAAAGTTTAGAACCAGAAAAACCAGGGCTGGGAAGGTGGCTTAGTGGAGAGTGCTTGCCTAGCATGTATGAAGCCCTGGGTTCGATTCCTCAGTATCACATACACAGCAAAAGCCAGAAGTGGTGCTGTGACTCAAGGTAGAGTGCTAACGTTGAGCAAAAGAAGCTCAGGGACAGTGCCCGGGCCCTGAGTTCAAGCCCCAGGACTGGCAAAAAGAGAGGGGTGGGGGTGGAAACCTGTTAGGATCCTGTTCATAATAAAATTTCTGTTAGGCTTCCAGATACATGGGAACTTCCTTCGGGAACCTTCCTCTCCTATTTTCAAAACCCTCTTTGAGAGTGTCCAGGAACAAAGATTTCCCAGCTGTAGCCCACAGTGCGATGGGCTCTGAGGGGCCTGCTCGGGCTTGCAGCGGAAGGAGCGCCTGGTGCACAGGGCCCCCTCTGTCCTTCCTAGGCACAGAGTCATAGAAGTCAGCATCCTTCTCCCAGTCATCTTTGCTGCCTTGCTGCTTCTCTTGGTGGCAGCCTCAGTCTTGGCTTGGATGAAAATGAAGCGACAGAAGAAAGGTGAGAGGAACTGGCTGGCTGGGTGGGGGGAGAAGCGGGGCTGATCACACACTAACAGGCCCAAGACCTTACCTTGGAAGGAGTGCCATTCCACAAGCCACCAGTAGAGGGCGGTCCAGGGGGCTGGGCCAGAGGCCGGGGTAGGGGTGGTCTGGGCTGGTGGGTGAGCTCCACACTACGTACACAGTATGCACACTTGCAAGCTCACATGATACACTCGTGTACACATGACACAAGCCTCTAGGCCTCATCAGTCAGGGCGTGAGACCCTTTCTGACACCCTTCCCAGGTCACCAGCCCTTTTTCCCAGGTGAATCTACTTGTACCTTGTGACATTGCTTTTCAAGGAAGAGCAAACTCGCTCAGAGCTTTGGGCCAGAGATCAGGAGGTCTGGCTTTCGCAAGCCCTTTTCCTGTCTGGCTTCACTTCCACATTCTCATGTAGCTGTGCCCTTTCTCTTCTCAGAATGCCTAAGACCTGAGCTCTTACCAAGACCTCTCTCATAACTGCTGGAGTCTTTCAGTCTGGGCGGAGAGGAGGGAGCCTGACACCTAGGCTGGCCTTGAACTCACTAGGTAGCCCAGCCTGATCTTGAACTCCCAATCCTTTTGCCTCAACCTCTCAGGTGCTGGGCTTATAGGGGTCCACCACCGTGCCCAGCTTGAATCTGACTCTGTGTATATGTGTGTGCCAATCCTGGGGCTTGAGCTCCGGCCTAGGCGCTTTCCCTTAGCTTTTATGCTCAAGCTGGTACTCTACCACTTGAGCCAAAGCTCTACTTCTAGCTTTTTGGTGATTAATTGGAGATAAGAGTCTCACAGATATTCCTGCTCAGGCTGGCTTCAAACTGTGATCCTCAGATCTCAGCCTCCTGAGTAGCTAGGATTACAGGTGTGAGCCACCAATGCTCAGCAAGCCTGACTCTTATTCATCACATTTTCTTCCAAATGTGTTGACCATGACCTAAGTATTTCCCATGATCCTCGTTGTCTAGACATTTGAAATAAAAAAAAAAACAAAAACAGGAGAGACCACCTTTTGATTCTTTTGTCTCCAAAGCAGGGGTGCAAGCAGAGAGGGAGGGCCAAGGGCAGGAAGAAATACAGGAGTCAGTAACCTCCTGAAAACCTGTCCACCTGCGCTAATGCAGCATGTGCACTTCCCTCGGGGCAGGGGTGGGGGGAGCAGTGGAGGACAAACTGCTTCTGACTGTCACGAGTCAGGCAGGGCCAAGCATCCAGATGCAAGCAAGGCTCGGGACCAGCCAAGCCCTGCTGAAGATGATAGATCCCAGGGAACTAAAGCCAAGGGGTCAGACAAAAGCATGTGCCACAGGAGGAGAGATCGGACAACCTGCTAGCTGTAAAATGCAGACATGACCTTGAGATGACCTCTGGGGAAACATGGAGGCACAGGCGGGACTGTAGGAGCCTGGGAATTTTCAGAGAGACTTAACCCCAGCGTTGCCAGTGGTTGGCAGGGCCACCGTTCAGCTGAGCTCTGTGAAGTGGGAACGCGGTAGGCTGAAGTCTCCCCTTTTTTTCAGGGAGAGGAAACAGCAGCTCAGAGAAATGACACAAGGGATGTCATGGAATGAGTCCTAGGAAGGCTCAGAATTAGAACTAGACTTGGAGACTGGCACCTCATGTTCACCCGGTTGTATGTGAGGACCTCTCTGACAGTCCTAAGGACGGGCTGCCTAATTCTCCATTGCTTCTGTCTTTCAGCGGCTGAGCCATCCGTGGAGAAGGTAAAAGAGGCCCAGGATGGAACCAGAGAGAGCACACGGCCTCGGCTCCTCTCCCTCTCCCTTGACTTCTACCTCCCAGGCCCCCCAGTGCCTGAATGTGTCCTGTCACTAGGAGCCAAAGTGATCTATGAATTCATGGCTTTCTTTTTTGGTTGTTGTGGGGCTTGAACTCAGGGCCTGGTACTGTCCCTGAACTCTTTAATTTGTTTGTTTATGTGGTACCAAGGAATCAAACCCAGAGCCTCATGTATGCCAGGCAAGCAGTCTACCACTAAGCCACATTCCCAGCCCCTGAACTTGTAGCCTCTGTAGAGTCTGGGAGGAAGGAGGGCCTAGAAGCAGCCAGAGAGAAGGAGGCCCAGGTATTGGGAGGGGGGAGGGATAGAGCTGGGGTCACAGGGAAGCAGAGAGGCTCCTGTCTCTCCCTGGAAGGAGAACCTGGACCCACAGGCTGATGCGGTCACCCCCAGCCTGCACCCCCCTTTGCAGCCTCAGGAAGATGAACTCTGCTACGCAAACCTGTCCCTGCACCAGCCAGGAGCCTCCTCCAGTTCGTCCCAGCACAAGGCCTCCATCAAGCCTTCTTCCGCTGGCCAGGAGGAAGTGGAATATGTCACCATGGTGTGTCCTTCGTGGGGGCTGCTGGGGACCAACGAGGGCAGACACGCTGCTGGCCCTGCTTTGAGGATGGGCTTCCTCCTGCCCCTGGGGCCCAGCTGAAGGAGCGTGGGCCCTGGGCAGAGCCACAGTGATTGCAAAACTTGCCCAAGGAGCCTCACAAAGGTTCTAGAGGTTTCTCCATGCCACCTCTCAACGCTGGGGAGTCAGGATCACCCACCTAATGGGGTCTTGTATGGAGCTGAGAAGGGGGGAAAAGAAAATGCAGCCCAGCTGAGTGGGGCTCGGGATCCCGCCAAGAATGGTTGTCTTCAGGCAGAGGCAACCCAAGCTTTGTACTGGGCCTGATGCTGGCGAGAGGAGGCTGGCAGAGCGGAGGGAAGGCAGCCAGAGGGGCCTGGAGTGGAGGGAAGGCAGCCGGAGGGCTCAGAAGTCTCCAGTCCCACCTGCCTCCACCCAGGACTCTTATACAGCCCCAGCCTCCCTCCAGCTGCTCTGATGCCATGACTGTCTCTCTCACAGGCTCCCCTTCCCAAGACGGAGGTTTCCTACGCCTCTCTGTCTTTGGACGCTTTGCATCAGGAGCCAACCTACAGCAACACCCATATTCCCGGCACTGGCCCCGAGACGACCACAGAATACAGCAGCGTCAGGTGGCCCTAGCCTCTGCTTACAGCCTTTCTCCTGGACCTGGACAATGTCTGCGAGCATGTTCCTGTTCGTCTGCTTTCTGTACCTGGCCCCAAGCAAGTCCAACTGGTGCTTGAGACTCTGGGATCAACCAGCATAGTTCCCCATCCCTGTCCCTCCTCCCCCAGACTTGGGAAGAGGCTGAGGGCACACTCTGGGAATGCCATGGGAATTGTAATGGTGATAATGATATTAAGAGTAGTTAACTTTTATTTATTGCTTACCATATGCAATATCCTCAGATATCTGCTCCTAGAATCTGCCTTGTAATGCAGAAGGCATGGTATACATGGGATTCTGTTATGGTTGTGTGTACGTGTGTGTGTGTGTGTGTGTGTGTGTGTGTGTGTGTGTGTGTGTGTGTGTGTGTGTTGGTATTGTAGCTTAAACTCAGGGCCTCGAACTCTTGCTTGGCTTTTTTTTGGCTTAAGGATGTCACTTTACCATTTGAGCCACACACCCTGCTTCTGGCTTTTGCTGGTAAATTGGAGAAAAGAGTCTCATGGATTTTTCTACCATTTTGGCTTTGAACTGTGATCCCCAGATCTTAGCCTCCTGATTAGTTTGGATTACAAGTGTGAACCACTGGCACGTGGCTTAATTTAGGATTTTTTGAGATGGGGAGATCATTTTAGCTTATCTAAGGGGCTCAAAATGTAATTATGAAGTCTTTCTAAGAAGGATGTGAGAAAGCCGAAAGGGGAGAAGGCAGTCTGATGATGGAAGTGGAAGTTGGAGTGATGGGGCTAGAAGCCAAGGAATGCTGCCGTCCTCAGAGACTTAAGGCAAATAATAGATTCTCTCCTGGAACCTGGAAGAGCAACTTCCCCACGGACACAGCATGGGTTGAGCTTAGTGGAACTTACTTTGTACCTCTGACCTCCAGAAATGTGGAGAACAAATTTGTATTGTTTTACATTGAGCCACTACATAAGTTTGTGATAATTGGTTACAGCGACAATAAGATGGTATGTGGCAGAGGCCTTTCCCTAAGTGCTTCACATAGAGTAACTAATTTAACCCAGCAGGTGTGGAGGTCCTGGAAGTATTTAGCTGGCCATGATCAGCATGTTCTGGGGCTTGGTTACAGCTGTATACACTCCAAACCCATCTGGAACAAATACCTTTGGTGGTGGATGGCTGTGTCTCCTGCTCTAGAGATGAGTCCCTGGATGTTTCTTTTGTGTGTGTGTGCCAGTACTGGGACTTGAACTCTGAGCCTCAGACTCTCAATTGGCTTTTTCATTCAAGGCTGTTATTCTACCACTTAAGCCACACTTGCAATTCTGGCTTTTTTCTGGTTAATTGGAGATAAGGCTCTCACAATCTTTTCTGCTTAATCTGGCTTTGAACTTCAGTGCTCAGATCTCAAGTCTCCTGAGTAGCTAGGATTCCAGGCTTGAGCCTCCAGTATCTGTCCAGTTTCCTGGAATTTTAAGAGCTTTTAGCTTTTCCAGCTCAAGGGAGTGAGTTCACAGAGCCCAAGGTGCTTGACTATTCTTGAGCTAGTACTCAAGAATTAGAGCAGGCTGGAGTGACTGCTTTTAATCCAGTTTGTCTTAAGATTTACAGAGCAACAAGTATCTGTAGAGAGATATTTAAATGGAAACATTCAAAGCAGAACAAAAAAAATTTTTTTGCCAATCCTGGGCACTGTCCCTGAGCTTCTTTTGCTCAAGGCTAGCACTCTACCACTTGAGCCATAGCACCATTTCCAGATTTTCTGTTTATGTGGTACTGAGGAATTGAACCAAGGGTTTCATGCGTGCTAGGCAGGCTCTCTACCAATAAGCCACATTCCCAGCCTGAGAGCAAATTTATGTTGAACTAAAGTATAAGAACAAAAGTCCTAGCCGGGCGCTGGTGGCTCACGCCTGTAATCCTAGCTACTCAGGAGGCTGAGATCTGAGGATCGCGGTTCAAAGCCAGCCCGGGCAGGAGACACCGTGAGACTCTTATCTCCAATAAACCACCAGAAAACCGGAAGTGGTGCTGTAGCTCAAGTGGTGGAGCGCTCGCCTTGAGCTGAAGAGCTGAGGGACAGCGCCCAGGCCCAGAGTTCAAGCCCCATGACCGACAAAAAAAAAAAAAAAGAACAAAAGTCCTAAGGCCTCAGGCCAGAGCATCAGTGCCATTTTAGCTACTAGTGGCCTTATTTTTGAGTTTCACAGTCTGCACCAAACAGGGTGTATGGGAATATGTTCATTTGTGTAACCAGGAATTTATCTGATAATACATGATATAGACTCTCATGAATATCACAAAACTCTTGATGAAAATCTGCAAACACACAGAAGACTAGAATTTAGCTTGGTTTGGTTTGGCTGGAGGACTTGGGCAGCTTCTGCCTTAACTAGACACTGAATGTGAATTAAAAATGGAAGGTTCTGGCAGCATGGCAAAGCTGAAGAGGGAGTAAATCAGTTTAGAAAGACTGGTCTAAGCTGGGCGCCGGTGGCTCACACCTGTAATCCTAACTACTCAGGAGGCTGAGATCTGAGGATCACGGTTCAAAGCCAGCCTAGGCAGGAAAGTCTGTCAGACTCTTATCTCCAATAAACCACTAGAAAACCAGAAGTGGCACTGTGGCTCAAGTGGTAGAGCACTTGCCTTATGCTGAAGAGTGCAGGGACAGCACCCAGGCCCAGAGTTCAAGCCCCACGACCGACAAAAAAAAAAAAAAAACCTAGTCTATTCTGATTCTTCTTTTTTGGGGCGGGGGCAAAGGAGAATTGGTTGGTTGTGGGGTTTGAATACAGAGCCTAGGTGCTGTCTCTTAGCATTTTTGTTCAAGGCTGACACTCTATTACTTGAGCCATGACTCCATTTCTGTGGGGTTTTTTTGTTGTTATTGTTTTTGCGTGTGGTTAATTGGAGAGAAGAGTCTTTTGGACTTGTCTAATCCAGCTACCTTGGAACTGTGATCCTCAGATCTCAGCCTCCTGAGTAGCTAGGATTACAGGTATGAGCCAAGTCACTTGGCTTTCTATTGGGTTATGATGACATATATATATGTGTATATATATATATGTATGTATGTATATATATTCCAGCCTGCTTTGTTCAAGTTTACATTAGGGTGTGGAGAATGCTAGAAGAAGTGGTGGGTGGTGGGGGTGTGTGCAAAAGAGGGAAACACAAGTAAGAAATGGAAAAAGAAACTGTTTCATAATGTTGACAGGTTTGTATCTGGGCTTTTGTCTCAGCCATATCCGGCTGCTGACAGAAGGCTTTGCTAAGGCAGCTTTTAGGTGGTCAGTCAGTCCTTTAGTACCAGAAAGAGAATGCACATATGCTTCCTTGGGGCTGAGTGGATTGTGGCATTTGCCAGCTTGCTGTCTAGGTTCCAGGAAAGTACATTTTGTAACAATCAGCTCCAGGCTACTGAATGGCTCAGCGCTCACCGAGTGTCTCATTATTTATAGTCTGTCTAAAGCTGCTGGAGTTTCCCTCCTTTGGTTTTTTGAATTATTAATATTTAAAGATTCCACTTGATAAAAATTGGAGGGGTGAGACTGTCTCCTTTGAAGAATTATGTGACTGGTATTAACTTCGAGATAGACTTGTTTTTTTTTTTAGTGCTGATACTGGAGCTTGAACTCTGAACCCTGCAGTCCACTTTTTGGTAATTAACCAGAGATAAAGATCTCATGGACTTAACTTCCTGGGCTGGCTTTGAATCTTAATCTTCCACGTCTCAGCTTCCTGAGTAGCTAGGATTACAGGCAGGAGCACCAGTGCCTAGCTCTGTAGTTCTTATTTTAATATCATTTGTTGCCCTCAATGAAAGCAGGAGCAAGCAGTCAATGGGCCTGTGTGTTGTTCAGGATCCGGTGATTGCTTTGCCTGCTCAGAGAGCAGCCATATGACCTTTCCCAGCTGGCAATCCCACAAGAAGTGTTGCCCTCTCTCAAGGGTGTGGAGACCATGGAGCCGTAGCTCTCAGCTACTGCTGGTCTAAGCCCAGGGCCCAGCGCCTGCCGGCTCCGCTCATTGGAGGAGTAGCAGAGTCCAAATGGCAGACTCGCTTTGAAACATCACACAGACTTTGCAAAATGAACAATAAGCCACAAAAGCAGAAGGCTAGGCCCCGGAGGCCTTTATGTCCTTGCAGGGAAATGTCCTGCCGTCTGGTGGGTGGCAAGGGAGGTGGAGAATTTCTGTGGGGGTGGAGGTGGGGCTTGAACACTGTCCCTTAGCTTTTTCCCTCAAGCTTGGCACTCTGCCACCCAAGCCGTAGCTCCATTTCTGGCTTGTTGGTGGTTCATTGGAGATAAGAGTCTCATGGACTTTTCTTCCCAGACTGCCTTCAAACTGGGATCCTCAGATCTCAACCTCCCAAGGAACTGGGATTACAGGTGTGAGCCACCAGACAAGTCTGGAGTATTTCATCTTAAGGCACAGTAGGACATGAGAGAGAGCAGAGGTAGTATGGAGGGAATTCCACGCCACAGGGGCTTTGATGCCTGTGACTCTTGGCTTGCTTTCTTCAGTTCATTATCCTGCAGCTGGGTTTCGGTGGCAGCCAGTCCCTAAGGGATCCTGTTGCTTGGCCCCTCCACCCTGAGACCCAATTACCAGTGACTCATGGCACTCAGGCCTGTTTTATACGCCTGGCTCTGGAGGCAGAGCCCCGAATCTGCTCTGTGAATGAGTGCTCCCCATTGCCATGGATTCTGCCTCAGTGTTTGTTCCTGGCTCAGGCTGAAGTTGTCACCAGGGCAAAACTAGCATTCCAGTGGTCAGGGACAAGATCTTCCAGTCCAGGCCATCCTGCCCCTAGGCCCCCTGGGGATGTCAGTAGGGGCGTGCCAGTGTGATGGCGGGGAAGAGACAGGGTTTATTTATTTTGCCGGTGCTGGAGCTTGAACTTGGCCTGGGCACCGTCCCTGGGCTTCTTTTGCTCAAGGCTAGCACTCTACCACTTGAGCCACAGCGCCACTTGTGGCTTTTTCTGTGTATGTGGTACTGAGGAATGGAACCCAGGGCTTCATGCATGCTAGACAAGCACTCTACCACTAAGCCACATTCCTAGCCCTGTCTTTATTTGTGTGTGTGTGTGTGTGTGTGTGTGTGTGTGTGTGTGTGTGTGTATGTGTACTAATACTAGGACTTGAACTCAGGGACTAGGCACTGCCCCTTAACCTTTTCACTCAAGGCTAGCACTTTACCAATGAAGCCACAGTTCCACTTCCAGCTTTTTGGTAGTTAA